GTTAATGATTTAAATGGCGAGAATACATCTTCGCAAACAATTTCAATAAGGTACACTAACCCCGAACCTGTATATGAATGATATGATCCCTGTTTATAAATTCCAGTTTCATAAGTTCTTTTTTAGTTTTTACAAGCTTTCGTCTGTTTCTACAGACATCCTGAGGTATGGAAATAGATTTTGTTCTTGTTTTTTACTTCTCGGTAATAAGAGGACAACGAAAAAATGCTATGAGAAATGTGTTATTGTTTTGGAACGTAAATTGTTTGCGAAGATGTATTCTCGCCATTTAAATCATTAACCTCTATATTTGTTTTGTATGAATGATTCATGTAATTATATATATATATATATATACGTGGATATGTGGTTAGAACGTTCTCTTTCCGACCATGTAACACGGTTCGAATCGCATCGTGTTCAATGTATTAGGAAGGTGAATTCTTGATATCACCCAAAACCACATACACATATAACTATCTATATTTATAAAACTTACTATATTTATGGAAGAAGAGAGGGAAATATCCGAGAGTTGTTCATAGACATAGACACCCCACACACATATATATATATATATATATAGAGACACTTCCCATATATATATATATATATATATATATATATATATGTGTGTGTGTGTGTGTGTGTGTATTGATTTTACATGAAAACATTACTTAACTTTTAAATATCAATTTAATCCTGACATCGATGTTTCTTGGTAAAATTTCCAGTCTTCAGGGATTGTGGTTTTAAACGGTATTTCCAATATTTTTATATATATATATATATATATATATATATATATATATATATATATATATATATATATATATATATTCTCGTAAGTCCTTGGATAATTCCGTTGCCTAAAGATATAAAATCATTTATTTTAAACAATATATATTGATTTTGCAACATAATGCAATTATTGTCAGAGCTTTTAACTTCTCCACACACATTGAACATTAAACCAAACTTCATCTAATTATTATGTTTACGTACGGACTTATTCACCCACTCGCTTTCTCTCTCTTTCTCTCTCTCTCTCTCTCTCTCTCTCTCTCTCACACACACACACACACACACACACACACACGCACGCACGGACAGACACAGACCCTTTATCAATTTACAGTTGAGCTAGCTAGTTGTAACCATAAGTTCTATGCTAACAGTTTATTTTCTCGCAGTTCTCTCTCCTAAAACGCCTTTCCGGCTCCATGCTTCCCAGCCACTTTAATCTTCAAAAATATTACTGAAAAGAACATTCGATATAAACTGTGAAATCAACAGAGCATGAGGTCTGTCAGTTTCACTGGTTAAGTTTTAGGCAAATGATCTGATGATCACTTAAGGCCGTAAAAATTCCAGTTTTTGTGCGCTGTAGATTTCTGTATCTACACGTCCTAACAAATATATAATATATATATATATATATATATATATATATATATATATATATATATATATATATATATATATATATATATATATATATATAAGAACTTCATTCCACAAGTTGAAAAAACAGACGACTACTTTCATCGTCTGCCGAAATAGTATACTCCCCACATGGGTTAAAAAGATATTTTGATTATTCATCATATTGCTTTGTATAAATAAAATATATCGAGCTCTCTTTTGTGGATCAATTTTCATATTTTTATATTACTAGGATCCACTCGAATTTATTTTACCTTTTTATATATATATATATATATATATTATAATTATTTTCTTTTTAAAAATATGATTCTATCGCGACAAAGAAAATTTACATGTTTCGAAACAGAAACTAAATGTAGAAATTTAATTATTAAAATTGAACTCAAAATCCATATTCTCGTTCCATTGTCAAGCAATGATAGGAATAAACCTTGAAAAAACTACACTTAATTTATGAGCGTATATAGTATTGACATTGTTTTGTTAAGGTTAAGGAAAATCTATTTTAATTTAGGGGTAGCTGGCTTTTAATTTCCCTGGACAGCTTATGTATTCAATATATGTTGCTTACAAAGTCAAGTTAAGTTTAGGGGTGGGATGTGTCTACTAACAAACATATACTTCCGTTCTTCAGTGAGTCGTCTGGGTTTCCAATGATAAAAAAAATTAGGCATTTACATTCATCCGCTTAATTCATATTTTTATACACAAAGACTTTCTAAAAGGTTCATTTAAATATGTGCAAGACATATTAATACTTAAATTTTATTAATTAAATTTTATTCTAATAGATTTAAAGTACTATTCGACCTTTTAATAACTAATAGACTATACGGTATTTTTAAATAGAAAATATATTAGATATTTAATTACTAATTAAAGATCAAATATAAAAATGTATATTTCATCTCCATTCTTTATTTTTATTCAAAATTAATTATTACTTAAGGAAAATATTTGACAGTGCCTACAAAAAATAGCTATTTCAATTCTTTGATTTAGAAAATTTTTATTTTTCAGAAACTTAATAATGCACAATTTTTCGTGTATGCACAAAGGACATGGGTCATTTAATGACCTACACGCTCTAGCTTTTATTATTAATTTCCATTTTACTGTTGGTGTTTTAATGGTTTCTTTTAAGTGCCAGAAATATTTAGATAGGGCGTTTGATTTCGGTATTTATCATTTGGTGAGACGGAAAAGTACTAAGAAGAGGAAAAAAAGTCAAATAGTTGTGCCCTAACCCCAAAAAGAAGAGGTATTGAGCAAAATTTTATGGGGAAATTAGCTCTGGGGGAGGTGTTGTAATGGAATGTCCCACACTCCCTATCTCCTATATGGACTGACTATATCAGTAGATATATATAGTAAGCACAGGATATATCTGGCGAGCTTGCTTCAGTAATTAGTTGGAGATTCATCTCCAGCTGTGCTGGTTGAACTCTCTGCCCGAAGGCAGAGAAGAACCCAGACGAGGCTATGTCGGAGGGCAGAGTCTCTTCTCGGGAAACAGCTACCCAACGCCAATTTATAGGAGGAATTTTTGGCCCAGCATACGGGCTTGGATACACCACATTAAATTCGGCCTTATACCACATCTAACGGCGTGGGCGGTTGGTAGATATCCTTGCTTCAGGAATTACTAGCCTGCTAACTGATTCACTGTCTTTCAGTGGTGTATTCTCTTTTACAATAAACCTCTCTTTCTTTCATCTACGCCCGTGTTGCTGTTCCTTTCACTCGAGTACCACCTTTGTCTGTTTGTAACCTTCTTTAAGGATACAACATTATTATTAAAGGACGTTCTATGTTGGCTCCACCTTCTTTTGAATTCATTTCGTGTGCATCCAATGTAGAATTTAACTATTTTTGGATCTTCAAAAGCTGAAATATTGCATCGAAAAATTATTGATTCAATACGGCATTTATTATTAAGAGGACAGTTTTGAGGATTTCTACAGTAACATAATTTTTCTTCGTCCTCATTACATTTTTTATTTTAGGATCTATATTTTTTTTTTGATTTTGGTATAAGTTTTTATTTAAGATATTACCATTATGTTTCTTAATAATCATTTCTAGGTTTTCCGTACAACTGTAACTTAATTTTAGGGTATTTTTATTAAAAATTGTACTGAGTTTATTTTCCTAGAGGAATTTTTGTTCTAACTTATTTCTTACCATTTGGTTGTATAGGGTGTATACCAAATGATTTTTCTATTTCTGTTTTTTCTATGGTGTCGATTTTCATTTTTTATATAATTAAGTTTTTGTCATTTATAGCCACTATTCTTTAGACCTTTTTATAGAAATTACTATGTTCATAGAATATGTTCTCATTTCCTGAATTTGTACTTATTCTTTTCTCAATAGATGAAGGTATATGTTATAGATGGAGGATGATTAGACTTAGGGTGTATATACAAAGGAATAGTATTATGCTTTTTGTAAGGTAAGTATATATTATTCATTAAATCTAATGTTATATCAATGGAAGTTTTTTTCATTTTAGTATTTACAGTAATTTTCAAGATTAGGCAATTAAATTCACTATGTAGTAGCTTTCAAATTTTATCGATTTTAAAGTTCGACTTTTAATATAGGTTCTTTTTTTTATTATTTTAATATATATATATATATATATATATCATATATATATATATATATATATATATATATATATATATATTGCACAATGTGCGCAATAATGGAATCATGGCACAAGGCTTAACAAGCTAATCTGGCACGAAATTACTACTGTAGTTTAAAGTGTTTGATCTTTTACTGAATGATTTACAAATTGGCCTTTGTGCCAAACAAAGCAAAACTTAACCCCAACGTCGCAATATTGCTGGTGTCTTCCTCACTTCTTCAAATAGTCTGATTCTCTGCATTTTTCACTCGCTTATCCTATTTCTAATGCTCCAGTTGACCTCTGACCCGCTTGCCGCTTACATCCCATCTGTTCTCAATTGACCGCCATCATGATCGCGTGGAACGCGACAGGTGTTGTTGGTCAGCGCACGTGGCTCACTGGAACATCCGTTTATACATGCAAAACAGAGCGGGCTTTCGACTTTTTTTTTAAAGATCTCGGTGAACGCATTGAAGGTGGCGGTGACATCGGCGAATGGAGTAGACGTTTGGTTTGAAAGGCGATCGAGAAGTGACGTGACAATGAGCTGGGAGGGACGCTAAAAGTATGAGCAGGTGTGTGACGTGGAAGAGGAACGTTAGGTATTGAACAGGAATGACAGTAGGAAATGTAAACGAAACGGAAGAGGGGGGGGAGAAAGGAACAACATCGAAAAGAATCACAAAGCGGCAGAACGAAGAGAATGAAAGAAACAAAGAAATCTAAGAGAATTAACATGAAAGACGAAAACAAAAACTATAGAAAAAAATGAAGAATAAAATAATGAAAAAGACGTCGAAATGTTTAATGACACACGAGACAAAGAAAGACAGAGTATAGATAAGTAATACATAAAAAAGAGTATGGAATAGAAAGAGTGAAAGGAAATGTATGGAAGAACAAACAAAGACTATTAGAGGAAAGACAAAGAAAGAGTATGGAATAGACAGGCAGAAAGAAAGTGTATAGAAGAACCGGCAATGACTATGAGAAGAAAGACAAAGGAAGAGTATGGAATAGACAGGTAGAAAGAATGTGTATGGAAGAAGAGGCAAAGGTTATGAGAGGAAAGGTAAAGAAACGGTATGGAATAAATAGGCAAAATGAATGTGTATGAAAGAACTGGGCAAGAATATGAGAGAGAAGGAAAAGAAAGAATATGGAATAAATAGGCAGAAAGAATGTGTATGGAAGAACCGGCTATGAGAAGAAAGGCAAAGGAAGTGTATAGAATAGATAGGTAGAAAGGATATGTTTGAATGAAACGGTAAAGTCTATGAGAGGAAAGGCAAAAAAGATTATGGAATAGAAAGGAAGAAAGAATATGTATGAATGAAACGGTAAAGTCTGTGAGAGGAAAGGCAAAGAAAGTGTATGGAATAGAAAGGAAGAAAGAATATGTATGAATGAAACGGTAAAGTCTGTGAGAGGAAAGGCAAAAAAGATTATGGAATAGAAAGGAAGAAAGAATATGTATGAATGAAACGGCAAAGTCTATGAGAAGAAAGGCAAACAAAGAGTATGAAATAGAAAGGAAGAAAGAATATGTATGAATGAAACGGTAAAGTCTATGAGAGGAAAGGCAAAGAATGAGTATGGAATAGACAGGCAGAAAAACGTGCATTGAAGAATGGCAAACACCATGCCAGGAAAGCCAAGGTAAGAGTATGGAATATAAAGGCAGAAAGAATGTGTATGGAAGGAACGGCAGAGGCTATGAGAGGAAATGAGATTGAAGGAAAAGAAAGGGTATGGAATAAAAAGGTAGAAAGGATGTTTATGGAAGAACTGGGTAAGATTATGAGAGAAAATGAAAAGAAAGGCTATTGAATAGAAAGGAAGGAAAATGCATACGGAAGAACCAGTAAAGACAAAAGGCAAAGAAAGTGAGTGGAAATAGAAAGTTAAAAAGAATGTGTGTAGAAAAACAGGCAAACACTATGTTAGGTAAGACAAAGAAAAGATGTGAAATAGAAAGGCAGAAAATAAGTGTTTGGACGAAGCGGCAAAGACTACGAGAGAAAGGGCAAGAAAGTCTATGAAATAGAATTGTGGAATGGAAGTGTATGGAAGAGCCGGCAATGACTACGAGAGAAAGGGCAAGAAAGTCTATGAAATAGAAAGGTGGAAAGGAAGTGTATGGAAGAGCCGGCAATGACTACGAGGGAAAGGGCAAGAAACTCTATGAAATAGAAAGGTGGAATGGAAGTGTATGGAAGAGCCGGAAATGACTCATCAGAGAAAGGGCAAGAAAGACTATGAAATAGAAAGGTGGAATGGAAGTGTATGGAACAGCCGGCAAAGACTACGAGAGAAAGGGCAAGAAAGTCTATGAAGCAGAAAGGTGGAATGGAAGTGTATGGAAGAGCCGGCAATGACTCATGAGAGAAAGGGCAAGAAAGTCTATGAAATAGAAAGGTCGAATGAAAGTGTATGGAAGAGCCGGGAAAGACTACGAGAGAAAGGGCAAGAAAGTATATGAAATAGAAAGGTGGAATGGAAGTGTATGGAAGAGACGGCAATGACTCCGAGAGGAAGGGCAAGAAAGTCTATGAAATAGAAAGGTGGAATGGAAGTGTATGGAAGAGCCGGCAAAGACTACCAGAGAAAGGGCAAGAAAGTCTATGAAATAGAAAGGTGGAAGGGAAGTGTATGGAATAGCCGGCAATGACTCATGAGTGAAAGGGCAAGAAAGTCTATGAGCCGGCAATGACTACGAGAGAAAAGGCAAGAAAGTATATGAAATAGAAAGGTGGAATGGAAGTGTATGGAAGAGTCGGCAATGACTACGAGAGAAAGGGCAAGAAAGTCTATGAAATAGAATTGTGGAATGGAAGTGTATGGAAGAGCCGGCAATGACTACGAGGGAAAGGGTAAGAAAGTCTATGAAATAGAAAGGTGGAATGGAAGTGTATGGAATAGCCGGCAATGACTACGAGGGAAAGGGCAAGAAAGTCTATGAAATAGAAAGGTGGAATGGAAGTGTATGGAAGAGCCGGCAAAGACTACGAGAGAAAGGGCAAGAAAGTCTATGAAATAGAAAGGTGGAATGGAAGTGTATGGAATAGCCGGCAATGACTACGAGGAAAAGGCAAGAAAGTCTATGAAATAGAAAGGTGGAATGGAAGTGTATGGAAGAGCCGGCAAAGACTACGAGAGAAAGGGCAAGAAAGTCTATGAAATAGAAAGGTGGAATGGAAGTGTATGGAATAGCCGGCAATGACTCATGAGTGAAAGGGCAAGAAAGTCTATGAAATAAAAAGGTGGAATGGAAGTGTATGGAAGAGCCGGCAAAGACTACGAGAGAAAAGGCAAGAAAGTCTATGAAATAGAAAGGTAGAATGAAAGTGTATGGAAGAGCCGGCAATGACTACGAGGGAAAGGGCAAGAAAGTCTGTGAAATAGAAAGGTGGAATGGAAGTGTATGGAAGAGCCGGCAATGACTCATGAGAGAAAGGGCAAAAAAGACTATGAAATAGAAAGGCGGAATGGAAGTGTATGGAAGAGCCGGCAATGACTACGAGGGAAAGGGCAAGAAAGTCTATGAAATAGAAAGGTGGAATGGAAGTGTATGGAATAGCCGGCAATGACTACGAGGGAAAGGGCAACAAAGTCTATGAAATAGAAAGGTGGAATGGAAGTGTATGGAAGAGCCGGCAATGACTACGAGGGAAAGGGCAAGAAAGTCTATGAAATAGAAATGTAGAATGAAAGTATATGGAAGAGCCGGCAATGACTACGATGAATAGGGCAACAAAGTCTATGAAATAGAAATGTGGAATGGAAGTGTATGGAAGAGCCGGCAATGACTACGAGGGAAAGGGCAAGAAAGTCTATGAAATGGAAAAGTAGAATGAAAGTGTATGGAAGAGCCGGCAATGACTAGTAGGCAACAAAGTCTATGAAATAGAAAGGCGGAATGGAAGTGTATGGAAGAGTGGGCAAAGACTACGAGAGAAAGGGCAAGAAAGTCTATGAAATAGAAAGGTGGAATGGATGTGTATGGAAGAGCCGGCAATGACTACGAGGGAAAGGGCAAGAAAGTCTATGAAATAGAAAGGTGGAATGGAAGTGTATGGAAGAGTGGGCAAAGACTACGAGAGAAAGGGCAAGAAAGTATATGAAATAGAAAGGTGGAATGAAAGTGTATGGAAGAGCCGGCAATGACTCATGAGAGAAAGGGCAAGAAAGTCTATGAAATAGGAAGGTGGAATGTAAGTGTATGGGAGAGCCGGCAAAGACTACGAGAGAAAGGGCAAGAAAGTCTATGAAATAGAAAGGTGGAATGGAAGTGTATGGAATAGCCGGCAATGACTCATGAGTGAAAGGGCAAGAAAGTCTATGAAATAGAAAGGTGGAATGGAAGTGTATGGAAGAGCCGGCAATGACTCATCAGAGAAAGGGCAAGAAAGTCTATGAAATAGAAAGGTGGAATGGAAGTGTATGGAAGAGCCGGCAATGTCTCATCAGAGAAAGGGCAAGAAAGTCTATGAAATAGAAAGGTGGAATGGAAGTGTATGGAAGAGCCAGCAATGACTCATCAGAGAAAGGGCAAGAAAGTCTATAAAGTAGAAAGGTGTAATGGAAGTGTATGGAAGAGCCGGCAATGACTCATGAGAGAATGGGCAAGAAAGTCTATGAAATAGAGAGGTGAAATGGAAGTGTATGGATGAGCCGGCAATGACTCATGAGAGAATGGGCAAGAAAAGTCTATGAAATAGGAAGGAGAAATGAAAATGGATGAGCCGGCAATGACTACGAGGAAAGGGCAAAAAAGATTATGAAATAGAAATGTGGAATGGAAGTGTATGGAAGAGCCGGCAATGACTACGAGGGAAAGGGCAACAAAGTCTATGAAATGGAAAAGTAGAATGAAAGATATGGAAAGAGCCAGCAAAAGACTACGAGAGAAATGAAAATAGAAAGGTGGAATGGAAGTGTATGGAAGAGAATGACTACGAGGGGAAAGGGCAACAAAGTCTATGATATAGAAAGGGGAATGGGGCATGGAAGAGCCGGCAAAGACTACGAGGGAAAGGGCAAGAAAGTCTATGAAATAGAAAGGTCGAATGAAAGTGTATGGAAGATCCGGCAAAGACTACGAGAGAAAGGGCAAGAAAGTCTATGAAATAGAAAGGCGGAATGGAAGTGTATGGAAGAGCCGGCAATGACTCATAAGTGAAAGGGAAAGAAAGTCTATGAAATAGAAAGGTGGAATGGAAGTGTATGGAAGAGCCGGCAAAGACTACGAGAGAAAGGGCAAGAAAGTATATGAAATAGAAAGGTGGAATGAAAATGTATGGAAGAGCCGGCAATGACTCCGAGAGGAAGGGCAAGAAAGTCTATGAAATAGGAAGGTGGAATGGAAGTGTATGGAAGAGCCGGCAAAGACTACGAGAGAAAGGGCAAGAAAGTCTATGAAATAGAAAGGTGGAATGGAAGTGTATGGAAGAGCCGGCAATGACTACGAGGGAAAGGGCAAGAAAGTCTATGAAATAGAAATGTAGAATGAAAGTATATGGAAGAGCCGGCAATGACTACGAGGGATAGGGCAACAAAGTCTATGAAATAGAAATGTGGAATGGAAGTGTATGGAAGAGCCGGCAATGACTACGAGGGAAAGGGCAACAAAGTCTATGAAATGGAAAAGTAGAATGAAAGTGTATGGAAGAGCCGGCAAAGACTACGAGGGAAAGGGCAAGAAAGTCTATGAAATAGAAAGGCAGAATGGAAGTGTATGAAAGAGCCGGCTATGACTACGAGGGAAAGTGCAACAAAGTCTATGATATAGAAAGGTGGAATGGAAGTGTATGGAAGAGCCGGCAAAGACTACGAGAGAAAGGGCAAGAAAAAGTCTATGAAATAGAAAGGTATGGAATGAAAGTGTATGGAAGATCCGGCAAAGACTATGAAAGAGAAAGGTGGGGCAACAAAGTCTATACGAGAGAAAGGGAAATAGAAAAGGTGGAATGGAAGTGTATGGAAAGAGCAATGACTACGAGGGAAAGGGCAAGAAAGTCTATGAAATAGAAAGGAAATGGAAGTGTGTGGAAGAAAGAAAGGGCAAGAAAAGTCTATGAAATAGAATGGTGGAATGGAAGTGTATGGAAGAGCCGGCAATGACTACGAGAGAAAGGGCAAGAAAGTCTATGAAATAGAAAGGTGGATTGAAATTGTATGGAAGAGCCGGCAATGACTACGAGAGGAAGGGCAAGAAAGTCTATGAAATAGAAAGGTGGAATGGAAGTGTATGGAAGAGCCGTCAAAGACTACGAGGAAAAGGGCAAGAAAGTCTATGAAATAGAAAGGTGGAATGGAAGTGTATGGAAGAGCTGGCAATGACTACGAGGGGAAAGGGCAAGAAAGTCTATGAAATAGAAATGTAGAATGAAAGTGTATGGAAGAGCCGGCAATGACAACGAGGGAAAGGGAAAACAAAGTCTATGAAATAGAAATGTGGAATGGAAGTGTATGGAAGAGCCGGCAATGACTACGAGGGAAAGGGCAAGAAAGTCTATGAAATGGAGAAAGGAATGGAATGGAAGAGTATGGAAACAAAGTCTATGAAATCATGGAAGACTGACGAAAGAAAGGGCAACAAAGTCTATGAAATAGAATGAGGTG